ATCTTAGGCACATGAATCTCTTTTCCCAATCTGCCTTAAAAGAACCCACTTCATCTAGAAGAATCAAATGGATTTTTTTAAAGGAGGAAAAAAATATCATTAGGATTTTTTTTTTTTTTTACCTTATACCACATTATTGGACCCAAAACACAAGTCTCTGGAAAGTACAGATGACAGGTCAGACTGTCACTGGGTCCCGTACGTAATATTTGTTGGTAGTCATCTGATAAGTTGGGTAGACTCCTTCTGGAATTGTCACACCAATGTTTTTCAAAAACAGTTAGGTTCATCCATATTCTGACACAGTTGTTGGCATTCCTGTAAGAAAACAGCAGGCTGAAACCTACAGCCTTAAGCAACCACAAAATCAAATGAGTCAGGTCATCTTCTCATTTTTCATATCCTTTTCAAGGCACCAGACCAATCCTTTCTTAAAAGAAACAGTTTGCAGCCTGCAAAACATTGATGACCCAACAACAGATGACATGTATACAGGAGAGAAACTGGACAACATCTTAAGGAAGAGATCAAATTGAACTCAGCCTCCGAGGGGCAAAATGGACACCATGCGTTTCTCGGCAGAGAACACAGAGCACTCACCCAGCATCCCAGCCAAAGAAACACGCCCAAACCTAAACCCAAAGGAAGGAGATATGATAAACTAATTCCCTGGGCTCCTTAAAAATATAGAAAATTGAGAAAAATAGAGGAACTGCTTCAGATTAAGAGATGAAAGGTTTATGCAATCAAATGCATTCCATGGTCTTGGACTGAATTCTTTTCTGGAAAGAAAAGGAAAAGTTGTACAGTTCACTGATAGGACCCCTGATAAGATGAGACTAGAAACAACAAGTTAAAGTATGTATGGTTACATTTTCTGAATTCGGTAACTACGCTATGATTACGTGAGGGGATATATCCTTGTGGTTAAGAAATATACATTTAAATATTATGCAGCAAAAGGGGTATGCCATGTACAACTGAAATGGCTTAGAAAAAATATTGTGTGTAATATACACATACACAGATATTATGTGGAGACAGAAAATTATAAGGAAAATATTCTTATACAAATAGAACTCTTGAGGAAGGGTAGATAGGATTTCTCTATATTATTTTGCAGTTTTATGTAACTTTGAAATCATTTCAAGGTAAAAAGTAAAAAATATATCCATATTATATATGGATATTACAGATCTGGGAAAATTCATGTTTATTCTTTTCCACGACAAATAATATCTTTGTTTGATTTCTGTAAAAGATGATTTTTCTTCATTTCATGACATCCAGATTTAAATGTTTTCAATCTGGCTCCAATATCCCCAGTAATTTGTGTGGCACATAGTCTCCAACTGCAGTTATAAGTCACAGCCTAGATCAGAGCAGGAGAGCAGAGTTCCAGGAGACCTCAGCAGCAGACCCCTAGTGGCCAGCGCTGGGGGAAGGCGCCAGGCGGTGACTGACCACTTCCACTGTACACCACTCAGTCAGCGGTTCTGTACACTGAGTCTGTCTGTCTGATATATGGAAACAAGGAACCTGGCATGACTCTAGTGGGTCATGGGTAATCCTGCGACCCAGAAAGGTGTCAGCAAATGCTACAGAACAAAACAGAGGGAGAATGGAGCACAGACTTCACTCAGGAGTTCAGTTGATTTCCACTTCACCTCTGCCAAGCCAGTATCTCTTCCATTTTACAGAAAAGAGATCCAAGTTTCAGAAAGATCAAATAATGTATTACTATCATACAAGTTAGAGTGAATTACAGAATGATGATCCTTTGATCAAATGTGATCCACAATTGGATTTCCTTCACATCTCACAGAGCTTTATAAATTGAAAAGTCACACACACACACACACACACACACACACACACACACACACTCAAATCTCAAATAGACAGCTACCTTTGGTAGCATATGCCCTTTCTAGTTGATCACAGGCCCTTCTAGGCTCAGTGGTCTCCTTCCACCTTTATTTCAAATGTCCAAAAATAGGAAACAACTCAAAAGTCCCACCAGACCTGTGTCCCTTATCAATTTATTTCCTAGCACAGCACCTTGGGTGGGTTTGGAAAATACTTAATGCTTACTGACTTTTAAATCCCCACCTTAAACAGATCCTTTATGAAAAGAGCTCGAAAGAGGTTTATCCTTATCCGGGTGTGCCGCTTGTCACAAAAACTTTTGGCATTCCAAGAAAGATGGCAACAATAATATTATACTGATATTATACTAATAAACACACTTTGTAAGTTGGTCTGGCCTGAGGCATCATTTCAATAGGAAAAAAAGCATTTAATGTTCTAATAATGGTTTACAAATCTATCGTATTTTAAAATGTGTTCATTGGAAATCATTGTATAACCACCATAAAGCTATACAATATCATTTGTCTCATTGCATTTTCTATGTTTATTAAAAATTTCTTAAGAGATATATATGCACACATAAAATGAAAGATTCATATGAATTAGTTCCACTTTAAATGAAGAACTTACTTTATAACACATAGGTAGATGCCTGAGTCTTCCAGTTTCAGGGGAAGAATCAAAATCCAGGTGTGTTCCTGGTGAATTCTAGACTGATTGTCTTTGGAAATGGGAGCTTTGCTAGCAGCATCATACCACACTACATTTACTTCCCCATATGTGAGTGGAGGGTTTGTACAATTGAAGGCAAAGGGCTGGTCTGCTGATATTGCCTCATGATGCATATCCCTATCCTTGCAAGTATCTAGGAAAAGAAAGGAAAAAAGCAAGAATAATTAGGGGGAGGGGGAGACACACAAGAGTCGTGCTGATTATTAGTGTTAATGAACACCTCTTCAATTTTCTAGTCAACTTGAAATTTTATCTGAGAGTTTTCTAAAACAAAACAACAACAACAACAACAACAACAAAAACAAAACATCAATAGCCTACTGATTCGAAAACATGATTCCAAGTTCATCAAACCTATCCATCCTGGCTTCCTTCTTCACAAAGGCCTCTCCTGTTTGGAATGATTTCCTTCTTTCCCTTCTTAGACTTAATTTTCTGTCCTCCTCCTCATTGTAAGGGAACCCACTTGGTCCTGTTTTCTTTTTACTCTGCCACCTAAGTACTACATCTTCAGTAAAAGGCATCCATCCCACCCCCCAAAATGGGTTGTTGGGGTTTTTTTTGTTTGTTTGTTTGTTTGTTTGTTTGTTTTTGTTTTTGTTTTACCAAGCTACTTAGATTTTCTTAGAAATTTGCTCTGTTGAAGTGTCCTTTGTTTTTAATCCTGGATCATAAAATAGCCCTTTGGCCTGTGAGTAGACAGTGCTGCCTCCGTTTAAGCACTTTCACCCAAATCTTGACTGGCATAGTTATCTGACTTCTTCCCGTCCGCAGGACAACCTGGAAGCTCCCACGTGACATTGGGGGGCTGAGCATCGGGTACCTTTGCCATTTCCCCATTCTGTGGAGTTCTGAAGGGCTTTCTAGGGACAGAGTAATTCACCAGGCTCAGGCCCCAGGAGGTGTGCCCAGGGGGCTAGCGGGGACTGGCCACCCTGGTGGGCATCCTCCGAGACCCGAGGACTCAGAACGTACCTGCTCGGACAAGAAGTGGCAGCGCGATGGACACTCGGCAGAGCAGCCAGGACCAGGAGGGCGTCCTCATTTTGGGCTGCGGGGAAGGGAGAAGCAGCTGGGGCGGGGAACAAGGCACGGCGCGGGCGCCCGCGCCCCCAAACCCGTGTCCGGCTCCAGAGCCCGGGGAACCCCAGAGACCCCGACCCGGGCCACTTCACCTGGGGCTCGCCACGCTTTCCCGAAACTGGCCCCTTCCCTGCCCCTTCTTACCCCCAGGGTCCGAGCTGGAGAATGCGGGAGCGCGGGAGGGGCTCCCTGGTGGCGTCCCTTTGTGCCACCCGGCCGCGAGGCAGGGTCGGCGTCCCCCCGGGTCCCCAGCGTGGCCCCGGGAGCCTCCCCTGGCGCCGGGATCTGCGGGTCCAGGGGCTCTGAAGCTAACCCCAAACCCGGGCTCCTCCGCAGAAGCCAGCGCAGGCGAATCTGGCCAGGGCCGGCGGGAAAGGACGGAGGGACTCTGAGCGACACCGCCCCCAGACCTGAGGGGTAACGCAGGCTCGACCCCCGCCAGGCCCCGGGTCGGGGAGCGCCCCGGGAGTCCTCACCTCTGGCCTCCCAGTTGCGCCCATTTTGGGTCATCTGTCACTGCACACCTTTCCCACCGTCAGCGCGCCACCTGCGCCTGGCCCGGCCAGTCTACCTGCCTGCGAAATCCCAGTGAGCTGGTCCCAGAAGAGAGAAAACAGGTCCCAACCCGGTCAAGGCGTTTTAACTCCTCGGCACAGCCTGTCCTCCGTGGGAGGGGTAGGCCTGTCTTCCCCAGGGGAGGGCAGAAAGGAAGGGGAAGTGGGCTGAAATCCTTTTGCCTGATGACCCAGCAGACAGCAAGTTCTTCCTCACTAGCAATGTCTACCTAAATCTTCCCAATTGTCTCCATAAATGAACTATTCATTCTCTCAAATCCCATGTGAGCACTTATTAACACGCCCAGGTTGGCCTCTATGGAAGCACTTGGAAGCCACCCAATGGCTTCTAAGGAACGTTCTTAATCTGCCTGAGTCACGCCCTTTAACTTCTGTGAAGCAGGCATGGCACGGTAATCCTCCATACCCTTGAGTCTGAAGACTTTTTGCCTAAAAAGTTCTCAATAGATCATGTCAACAGGGACCTGTTAGCTTGGCCATCAGGAGTCACTCCCAAGTTATCCCATGGGCCCTGAAAGAGAAAAACTTAAATTGTATTTTCCATTCAATGGATTCATGGGCAAAGCTATTTCTAGTGGTCTTTGTGGGATTAAAGCGAATGAGGACGAATTAAAAGAGCAACCATGGGAGCAGAGAGAATGCAGTAATTGCATTAACAGCAAAGCATCTACACATAGAAAACATTGAGAATTTCAAAGCATTTGCTTGTGTGGGCTATGCCTGCCAATATTACTGTGCTTGAAATCATAAAGAAGAACTCTAAAATACTTACTTTCTCGTTAATTTTAAATAATGACCCTATTGCATGTTGAAATAAATATATGCATTTTATGAAAATGACTATACTATCAAAAACAAACTTATTGAGAAGAGTGTGATTGCTCTACATGCTTATAAATTTTTTGAGTATCTGGCTTAATAGAGGATTAAGTGGATCCTCCCATCTGCTTCTGTATTCAGTCTCATGATATAATATATCATGTCATCTATGAAAAAGGCCACCTTACACTAGTGAGAATTTAAAAAGCCAAATGAAGTCTTACTAGGGTTATGAAAAGAGTTTTGATTTCACAGATCTCTTTAAAGGGTCTCTGGGACTCTCCTAAGTCTCCCACACTTAGAGAACTTCTTTGTTAAGCTCTAAATGAATATCTTTATTATTTTCCCCTAACATCAGCATTGAATGAGCCTTGTCTGTACATATACACTCTTCAGGGTTTGTCTTCACCCTAAGCAAAACAAAGATGTGACTATAAATAATGTAATTCGCATAGAGAACTGAGGCAGGATAGAAGAAATAAAATTAGATAGAAAGGAGACATAAAGAAAATATAATTTTAACATATTTTCCAGGCCTGCCATTCCCCAAAATCATTCACTTTCTCAGGACTGTCATTCTCAGATATCTGGGAAATCTGAAACTCTATCCTGTGTACTGTTAAAGAGACATACAGGCATATTTAAAAAAAAAAAAAAACCCTGCAATTTAGGGGACTTTTCAATGTTATTTACTGGATTGGATCATGGAGACCCCATTTCAAACTAAGGCTCCTCAGAATGTGCAGAAGACTAGAAAATGTCTTAAGATCACTAGACTAATGTCATCCTCTTATACCTTCCCATATTACCCCTTGTGGAGTGTCCTTTAAAAGAAGAGTCAGGAAGACAAAAACGTGCCTCTCAAATCTCCAGATGTCCCACATTCTCCTTTGAATGTCTATTCTTTGCTTTAAACAAACAAACAAACAAAAACAAAAGTCTTCTGTCTCTGCCAACATGTGCCGAAATTTTTTTCTGTTGTATGTCAAGGACCCTGCTTGTCCTGAGTCAAGTTTTCCACTCTGAGGAGCTCCCTTGGGACTCTCTTCCAGTGATATTTTTTTCTCTAGTGACAGAACTATTGCCATGAGCAGTGTTGCAGATTATTTCCGAATCTCTTTATTTATGCTCCTTTTCCATTTGTACCTCCTGAATAAATGCACTTGTGTCCTATCTTGTTTCTGGGATGTGAGGACTGGCGTGTACACCTATTCCATTTAAAGTAGATGCCACAAAGTTTGTGAGGTTAGGACAGTGAACCCTCCCGTGGTGACTGGTTCTCACTGGACCTTACTGACGGATGGTCACGTGCATTTTCTGATACATGGAGAATGAATTGTTTGGTTTTTGAAGACAGAACTGATTTGGGGATTGTAAACTCTACAACGAAAAACAACAATATGTTAAGTGAAACAAACCAGACACACAAAAACTAGTACTGCATGTTCCCTCTCATAGGTGGAATTAAAAAAATAAATAAATAAACTTGAATGTAGAGTAATAACTAGTGGGTTGAGAATGAGGTAGATGAAGGAACCTGGATTTGATCAACTCATGCTGTATTTGTATTGAAATATCACGCTGAACACCATTCATATGTACAATGAATACATGCTAGTTAAATTTTTTTAATTAAAAAAAAGAAGAAACTGTAACATTTATTACAGGTTTTCAGTTGCCCTGAAGCTGGATAGCATGGTTTGCCAATGAGAAAGGGGAAGAGAGAAATTCAAATGAAATTTCTTTTACAAAGGCTCCAGGTGGGCAAGTTTAGTTTTGCTTTGTAACGCACTTGAGAAAAGTTGCTTTATGCTAAAACTTCCTGGATTCAATCACTCCATCTTCCATTCTATTTTTCAATATTAAAATTTTCTCCTGAAATGTAGATCATGTGATATTTAAGGGCTACAGAATTCAAAAACAAGTCATAAGTGACGTTAGCAAGGTCCAGCTTACAATCAATACTCATCTAGTTTCCTGTGTATATTCCTCCCACTCCCCAAACTAACTATCCAGACTTGGTGCTTATCATTCCTGTGTATGTGTGTGTGAGTGTGTGTGTGCGCACATGCACATGCATGCTCCTTAAGCAGTAGAATATCCTATTGTATGAATATGTCCCAATTTATACGTCCATCTCCTTTGGACAGTTTGTTCCAGATTTATATTTTGCTTTACAGGTGTGCGGCTGTGACAATTCTTGTGTCTGTATTTGAGTGCAATTGCAGGATCAGCGTGAGGTAGGATAAAAGAAATGTTGTAAGAAAGGAGACAAAAGGAAGCTGTAACTTTCATCTGTGAACCCTGTGTTAAAGTTTCTCATTCCAGCCCCCTTCGCTGCCAGATCACTTTTTCTCCCAGACTTGTTACTCCCAAATGTCTGAAAAAAAATCTACGAATCTTAAAGATTCTTAATTCCACTCATTAATAAAAATTGTCCTGTGCACTGTTAATCAGCCCATGTAATGTACTAGCGCATATGTTTTTAAAATAGATCAAGTTAAGTTTTCACCAGGACAAAGGTCTTAATACTCACACCCTGAGTCTGAGAGGTGGACCTCAAACCCAGGGTGTGAGTATCCCTGACATCATCGTAAGGACATCAGAGGCGCTTCAGGACAGGTCAAAGTGAAGCACAGATTAAATACATGGAGGGGAAGAAAGGCATGCACACTCTGAGAGACGGGATAGAGTGTGGGCATCAGAGAGGAACAGGCCAGCTCCATCTCAGCTGAGCATATTAATACACATAAGATCAATATTAAGGGACAAGAGCTAATAGTGTGCTTCTCGTTCTCCTTTGTGTTGGTATCTGGGTGTGCTGACAATTACCAGGACAGAAGGGATCATTTCCTGACATGACGTTATCAGGATGGGGGTCATTTACTGATGTGTTGATCATTAGTAGGAGGGGGGTCTTTTTCTTCTTTGTTTTCTACATGTTCTGCTTTGTGAAAACAGTGCTGCATTAGTGGACCTGTGGAAAAGTCTAATGATTGATTTAATTATGATGTTTGTAATCAAGATATGTAAAAGTAACTGTCAGATCTGGAGTTTAAATAGTGGTTACTCCTGTATTGACCCTCATGTCTCCTTTCTACCTATTTTTATGTCTTCTATCCTACCTCAAAATAAGATACAGGAAGGAGAGGGTCATCATTATACAAAATACATGTATGAAAGATGTGAAAAAAAAACAGATACAGTATTTTAAGAAATCTATAATACAGGGTACATTCCAAATATTACCTACCTGTTGATCTGGTAGAGGAGACATTAACTTAAATATCCTGAGAGTCACCAGACTACCATAAACCATCTTATGATCACCAGAAGGGTGTCATCTCCAAGTACTTCCCCATGCTTCCCCTTCACAAGGTTTCCTTTAAAAAGAGGAGCCCATGCCTGGTGTGGTAATGCATGCCTGTAACCCCAGAAGCTTCGGAGGCGGAGGCAGGAGGATCGCAAGTTCAAAGTCAGCCTCAGCAACTCAGTGAGGCCCTAAGCAACTCAGCGAGACCCTGTCTAAAATAAAAAATAAAAAAGGGCTGGGGATATGACTCAGTGGTTAAGTGCCCCTGGGTTCAACAACAACAACAAAAAACCTTAGACCCTAAACGTGCATGTCACTCTCAAGGTCACCCACAATCTCCCTTGAATGTGTACTCCTTGCTTTCCTGAATAAATCACTGCTTGTGCCTCTACGCATCTTGAAGTCTTGTCTGCAATGTATGTCAAGGACCCATCTGCGGTGCCCACTCTGGACCTTCTCAGACTCCCTTTCATGACAGTTGAACAGAGGCATCTTCAACTACGTTAACAAATTCCTCGTTTTTTCCACAGTCGTATTCTTTAGAGAAGAAGAGTTTCATTTCTTCATATTCTTGACAACATTTGGTAATGTCCCAATAGTAAATATTGCAAGTTTTGCCAGTCTGGTGGTATAAAACCTATCTTGTGATTTTTTTCCACTTCCTAATTACTAGGAAAGAGGAACATCTTTGCTTATGTTATCAACCATTCATATTATGTCCTCCATGTGAAATCCCTTTCATGTTCCTCCCTTAACCCACTTGTCTGCATGCCTTCATATCACCTCTCTGCAGGGAACCCATTCAATTCTACCTCTAAAATCTCATGCGTTTGCCTTCACAGGGATGCACATATGTCTCACCGCATTCTCCCAGCAACACCCCTTATCTCCACTTTGATCATTGTAAGATCTCATCAAGCCCCGTCAGACAAGAAAGAGATGTTTGACAGGCATTGATATTTTATCCTGGTGCCCCCAACTCCACTTATCTCATTCTTTCCCATTTCGGCAGTCTGAATATTCTTAGCCAGTCCTTTAAAAGCACCATTCACTAGGTGAGTAACTGACATTTTCTATGGATT